ATGATGTCATCATGGAGGAGTGGGAGAGGATTCCTGAAGCAACCTGTGAGCTCTGGTGAATTCCATGCCCAAAAGGGTTAAGGCAGTGCTAGATAATAATGGTTGGCACACAAAATATTGACACTTTAGGCACAATTTGGACATGTTCACTGTGGGGTGTACTCACTTATGTTGCCAGCTGTTTAGATGTTGATGGCTGTGTTTTGAGTCATTTTCAGAGGAAGGTAAATCTATACTACTATACAAGCTGTACACTGACTACTTTAAGTTATATCAAAGTGTCATTTCTATAGTGTTGTCTCATGACAAGATATAATGAAATATTTGCAAAAATGGGAGGGGTGTACTCACTTATGTGAGATACTGTACAAATAAAAAGTTAAAATCTAATTAAATTCATATATAAATTGTTCAAAAAAATACATTCATGCTGGAAACAAAATAAATGTATTTAACATTTCTTATGTATTCATGCATTTATATTCTTTTACATTTACATAATTTTATTTATTATGTTTATACATAGTGGTGGGGATTAACTAGTTATATGGAACTCCATTACATGATGAAATTACAAAATAAATATAAATAAAAAATAATATAAAATTAAATTACAAGTACTTATCAAAATACTGGTGATTAATATTGCTGTGCAGGAATGTTTTCTTTTGGCTAATACTGGTCTTTCTTTTAGCTTTATTCCCCAGTTTAATGAAGTAATTAATATAGTTACTTACTACAGTTTTAATGGGGTAACTATGATATATTTGTCTTCCATTTAAATGAATACTCTGTATATTTCCATCTCCTGCATGGACTGCCATAAAATTTAATACTGGTATTCATGTCCCCCTCAGGACAAGTCAAAACTGAAAACATCCTCCTAATGAAATCTTCAAAGAGGAGAACCCATGTGTCTCCAGATTGTTAGCTCAGAGGGATAGACGACTAGTTTGACAGTTGGAGGCTCTGGGTTCAATTCTCAGTGGATAACTTTAGACTGTTTTGAAAGCTGGTGTCTTGAGGCTCAGTAGATTTTAAGGCCAGTGTCTAAAGCAGAGAGTGAGAGGCTCTTTGAAATACATGAACTATATGCATGAAAAACTCAGGCTGATAGAGGACTGCTTGAAGAGTCTGAGATTGAGGGTTCAATCCTTATCCAGGGGGCAGGTGAATTTAACCATTTAAACCAGTTTGGGTTTTTCCTGGTGTTGCTGGAACCACGAGCAGAGCAGCAGACACCTGATTAAGTAAGCCTCAAAACACTCTGTCTTTAAGGGCACAGTAAAGTCTTATGGGTGCCATGGCTAAGTTAGGCAATAGTGTGCAGTATTTGGGGTCTATCGCCTAGTCAAGAGACCATGCTCTTAATTTTTGTATTTTGTTTTGTTTCCCACTTCCTGGTCTTTACCTCCATCTCTTCAGTTTGCTTCTCCAGGTGCCAGGGGTTGCTGAGTTTAGGGCAGTGCAGAGTGGCCCTGTTAGAGGTCAAGGAGAGTGGTAAGTTTGTTTATTATAAGAGCACAGTTTTATTGGTTATGTTTCCCTGTTGGTTTGTCGGGGTTCTTGTTACTAGAGGGATGGTGGGTAACAGCCCCTGTGTTAGGTTTTCCTGCTTATCCACAGTCTGCCATTCACCTACTTTAAAAACTACAACTCCCAGGAGGTGGAGCTTCTACCACCAAGGTAGTGCAAGATGGGTTACTTTTACCTGACTAAAAATGGCATAGGATAATATGCCAAGGGAAATATGTGTGAGGTACCCATGTTTTCACACACATGGACGTAAACCAGGAGTTATATATTTAGCTATCACGTGACTGTTGTGCAGAGGCATATACTGCAACAGAAACTTTTTTTTAACATTAATTTCTTTCCGACCAACCATTGTTCAGATCAGACTTTATGGTCCTTTACACTCCGAAACAGTAGGCGGCGGTATACACCTGTAAAGTTCATTCGCGATCCGCCATTAAACACACAGAAGAAGTGGACCGGAATGAACGGGTTAATATACGTCCTCGTGACGTTGCGTGTACACACGGAAGTGGGTTGTAACATGTCGCTGACACATTCTAGCAGCCACATAACTTTAATTTTCAGCTTGTATGTAGAACATTAGCGACACTTTGAGTTCCCCTGACTGAAACGTTGGACAACAACGCGGTGGAAACGTCTAAAAAAACAATACTTACCGAATGGTGACGGTCTAGGTGCACGTGCAGGCGGTTCGTGAACATGTCTACAGGTTATCCCACACCTGTTTACTCCCATGCTGGACGAGGAGACTTCAGAGACGTTTACGAGCCGGCGGAGGACTCTTTTCTCCTGATAGACGCCCTGGAGAAAGACGCAGACAGGCTGCAGCTGATTAGGTCAGAGTCAGCTCACCTGGTGCTCCTGAACGCATCACATACAACAACAACAATCCCCCAAAAATGTAGACGCTGTGTAAAGCGGAAATGATTTGCAAATATCTTGCCTCTGTACTGTATTTAACTGAATGTTGTTTATACAGGGTTGTAGTTTCAGTGTTCAAAGTTTAAATGATAAATCCATTTAATAGTGGTATGTTAAGATCCTTTTTGTTTAACCAGAAACAGCCCTGAAATTGCGCCGAACCCACCAGACTCCATTTAAATAAACAGTAATTTTATTATGGTAAAACAGACTTCATTCAAAGTCAATAGAAAACAAATAAAACTCACAAAAGCCATCTTGGTTGATATCTCCACTGTTCCATCAATCACCAACTCTGGTTTGGTTGAAACTGATCCTTAAATCGTTCAGTTAGATGTGAAAATATGCTGCCTCTATACATGCTAAAATTACTGTTAATGTAAATGGAGTCTGGTGGGTTTGCCAGCTGCTTTTAGTGGATGTAAACTGATGATGCACATGGTTACATCGCAGCCCTCTCCTTCAATACCAGTCCAATGTTAGGCTTTGAAAAAAATGCAACACATTATTTTCTTAGCCTTAGTCTTTAGCCTACTGTGACTTTGAATGTTTAATTTTCTCTGCTTGTTCTAGCCCGTGTGTGTGTTTGGAGGTGGGCAGTGGCTCAGGAGTGGTGTCAGCTTTTCTGGCATCAGTGGTTGGACCTTCAGCTCTGTATCTGTGAGTTAAATAAATATTTTTTCCTCCATATCCAGCCAATAAAAATGGGCTTACTTGTTGCAAATGCATGGGAGAAAATATATAAAATATAATCTTGAGTATATGTTTGTGTTTCAGCTGCACTGATGTGAATCCTGCAGCAGCACAGTGCACAGCGAAGACAGCTTCCTGTAACAACGTTTCACTGCAGCCCATCATCACATCCCTGGTGAGACTTGTGAATTCACATTTTAGGTATTTGCATGCTTTTAATGTAAGGGTTAGATTCCTAAAAGCTGCTTTCCTTTTAGGTGGAGAGTCTTCTGCCTCGTTTAAGTGGGAAAGTGGATGTTCTTCTCTTCAACCCTCCCTATGTGGTCACACCTTCAGAAGAGGTGGTTCAGCTCTGTACTGCAGCTATTCTTCACCTCACAGATGAGGAGCATTTGATCAATGTGCGCTTTTCTTCTAGGTTGGCAGCACAGGTATAGAGGCTGCCTGGGCCGGCGGGAAGCGAGGACGAGAGGTGACCGACAGATTGCTGCCTGTGGTGGTGCAGTTACTGTCTAGTAAAGGGTTATTCTACCTCATTACCATCGCTGAGAACGATCCAGGTGAGTTTACCTATGTCTCTTAAAATATTTTCAGTGCAGGAAACAGTCTTGTCATTTTCCTTTAATCAACAGAGGAGATCATCTGTTTACTGGGCAAATGTGGCTTGAGGGGAGAGTCATGCTTGTCGACGAGAGCTGGAAATGAGAGGCTGTCCGTCCTGCGCTTCCAAAGGACGTGACAAACATGGACCTCTCCTGACAGGATTACAGGACCTTTGAACTGACTGGGAAACAGGACAGTATTTCCTACAAGGAAGAAAACTGCAAGAGATACATCAGACAGTTGGTGTGAAAAACATTTTCTGATTGAAGTGATGCACCAAAAAAACACAGCTTGAGTAACAAACTTGAAGGTTGTCTATGTGACAGAATGATAACATAAGTTTGGGATGTTTGAACAGTAAAAAGTTAATATTTTGACCTAAGTTGATGCCTTGTTAGTGTCATTTTTGTGTTAATAAGACCAGTTTCAGTTTTCAGTCGTATTCAGTTCCTTTAATGGCTGGCAGTAATGTAAAGTTGGATGTGTATTCTCTAGTGATGGCCAAATGAAGCCTCATGAAGCATTTTCTTTATTTTCTGAGCCCACTAGATGGCACTTTTTGTTCATCAAAAGGTTGAAAGCACACTGAATTGCCATTCTTTGAGCCTCTCTCTTTAAGCCATGAGTGCCATCTAGTGGGCTCAGAAAATAAAGAAAATGCTTCATGAGGCTTCATTTGGCCATCACTAGTATTCTCTAATTCTGTGAATTGGACTTCCACATGATGTGTCCCTCCTCTCTGAGCAATTTCATGAATTTTGTCTGCAAGCTATTTTGACATGGCTTTCTGTGCTGAAGGCTGTTTTTTTTTTTTTTTTTTTACCTTTCCATAACCGCTGATCAAATATGAATCAGGATTCACGATTTCTCACCTCAAATGTTTTCAGAGACATATTTTAGTGAACTGTTTAGCTGTAAAATGAGAAAGTTTGTAACCCGGCTGCCATGATGAAAACAGTCACGCCAAAACCGAGCACTGTCCGCCGGCAGAAGCAAACACTCATTGAACACTAAAATATGTTGCTGGCAGTGTGGAGGAGTGAGCTACATGTAATTAAAGACATCAGGCTTTTTTGGACATACAATACTCAGGTCAACAGTCCAGACTGGGGTTTTAATCCTGGTTACGGCAGATAACACAACCAATGCTGCTAGCCTACTTCAGACCTTAGGAATACGCTACTGCAAGGGGGAGCTAGGACGATAGGCCAAAGTGGGGATATCGTCGCCGTCGTCGTCATCATCATCTACATACACAGTGGCTAATAGATAAATAAAATACTGGTGTTCCTACTGAGCCTGGGCCATTCAGAGGAGGTGGTCGCAAGGTAGCTAGGTCCAGAGAATATGTAGGTAGGGTAGGGTAGCTTAAAAGGTATAGTAAAGTCAAAATTGTAAAGAATGTAACAAATCTAAGTTATAATAGGTAAATATATATAAATAAAAAAAAAGTAACAAAAAAAGTTGTTTGGTATAGCTCAATCAGAAAAATGAAAAAAAGGCAGGATACTAAAGTAACTAAAGAAAATAATGTTTCATTTTTTTTTAAAAGCGGGCGACACGGTGGTGTGGTGGTTAGCAGTCGCCTCACAGCAAGAGGGTTCCTGGTTCATTCCCAGGAGGGAGCCCTTCTGTGCGGAGTCTGCATGTTCTCCCCGTGTCAGCGTGGGTTTTCTCCGGGTACTCCGGCTTCCTCCCACAGTCCAAAGACACGCAGGTTAATTGGTTCAATTGACTGACTCAAAATTGTCCATAGGTGTGAATGGTTGTCCGTCTCCATGTGTTAGTCTAGCAACCTGTCCAGGGTGTACCCTGCCTCTCACCCAATGTCAGCTGGGATAGGCTCCAGCCCTCCTGCGACCCTAAAGAGGATAAGCGGTTACGAAAATGGATGGATGGCTGTTTTAAAAGCCGAACATTGGACAGGTATCGAGTGAGAGGGCTGCAGCCAACAGTGGCAAAACGCGTTGCAAAGTAATCATGTACATCATCAGTTTACATCCACTACAAGTGTTTGCTTTTGCCACAGACAGGCTCAGAATATTATTGCAAGTGTCTGACATCATGGAAAGGATCCCTTCTTCTTCTTCTTGACTTCTAGCAGACTAGGCAGTTTTAGTGAATTGCTGCCTCACTCTGGTTTTTATTTGTCATTGCATCTTCAGGCACTTTAACTTGTATTTTGCAATACAGGTTGGAAAGGATCCTTACAGAGATAGACCTTTTTGTTTAACTAGAAACAGCCCTGATAAAACAATTGACAAACCCACCAGATTCCATTTACATTAACAGTAATTTAGCATGTACAGAGGCAGCATATTTTTACATCTAACTTAATAAAATTAAGGGTTTATTATAAACATGTTGAAACCCTGGTTGACTGGTTGTGCAATACAGTGTGTAGGTTTTCCCATATACTTTTATTATATTGTGAAATACATAGTTCTAGAGGCTATGCTTATTATTGTAAGTGGATTTAATTCATTCATTAATAAACAAGCCTACCCCTCAAAGATAACCTGGCTTCTGCAGACAGTTGCCATTATGCTAACAATGTCATATTGTACTCTAAATTTTGTATTTTTATTTTCATTCATCCATTTTTATGCATCCGCATTGCACACATAACCTACCTCTCTTATTAAAATAACTGGATTCAAATCTTCTATATTTGGCTGGTATAGAATAGGTAAAGGGGAGGTTCCCCTTCAAATTAAACTTTCTTCATGTACAACTGAGAGATCCAGGAAGGCAGCACAGAGACTGGGAAATCTTTAGCCTTCAGCAGTATATTTATTTACAAAAGGGGAGGGACTGTGTGGGAGAGTGTGGTGCATCGAGGCCAGGATATGGAATGTGTATCTATCTATCTATCTATCTATCTATCTATCTATCTATCTATCTATCTATCTATCTATCTATGTGTAAGGTGCTATGTAATGGAGACTGTGTGGCAAGTAAATGGAGTATGGGCAGCGGGTGTTGGAAGTATGTCCGTGCAGAGAGTCAATGGTCCGGGCCAGGTCCAGGGATGGGAAGCTCGGAGAGGAATCCGGGGAGAAGCGCAAAGGTCTATGGTCTGTGGGCAGGGCTCGAGAGGAAGTCCAGGGCCAGGGAGCACGGGAGGACTCGTGGAGGTCTGGTGCTCGCGAGGGATCACGGGGTGCACACACACAGACAACCAGACTCACGTTGTGCGATACTCTGTAGAAGTGTGAAGAAACTAGGTATACCTAGCAGCATGGAGTTTAATCTGCACTTCACTGAGCAACTGTGTGCAGCTGAACTCAAACTCCAACATGAAGTTCACCTGCAGAGAGAGAGAGAGAGAGAGAGAGAGAGAGAAAGGTGGTCGTGATGATAGAAAGGGTTGTTAGAAAAACTTTTGGATGTGAATGGGAGTGTACTGCAGACAGGGTGCCACGGAGCGACCTTGGACTGGGAGCGGAAGACTGGGTAGCAGACATTGCAGGAGTGGCTGTTTGTGCTGAGGGCTGTATGTGTATGTGAGTGAGAGAGTGAGAGTGAGAGTAGGTGTGAGTGAGTGTGAGAGAGGTAAATGTTGTAAGCCTGTGTGTGTGTGTGTTATACCCGTATGCTGAGACTGGAGAAGTGAGGGTTGCGTCAGTAGTGCAGCGTGAGGCTGGTATTGTAGCCAGCCTGTTTTGCAGTTGCACCTCCACAACCAGTCGCCTCCGAGGACTGCGGATCACGTAGGGCTGTTGTCTGAAGGAGGAGAGTCTGATCAACAACAACAACAACAACACGATACTATTCAATATGACATGAACACAGTGATGCTGAGACTGCCACGTGAGGTGTGATAAGACAGTGGTGTGAGTGTGTTGCAGAGTGAACCCAGGGGGAGGAGGAGTCTGGTCCTACCCCGTGCCAGAGATGTCCATGTGAACCTGCAGAACCAGGTCGGTGGTGCACACGTCGTCCTCGCCGCAGTCTTTGAAGAAGGGGATCTGGAGGAGTAAGGTCAGGGAGAAGTAACATCAGAATGTCAGCATGTGACTTGCGGACTGAAAGACAGACAGGCAGACCAAAAAGACAGAAGGATAGACTGAATAACAGAGACAGAATGAGGCGGACAGAGAGACAGATGTGAGACAGGGGTGAAGAGGGTGAGACAGGGGGAGAGAGACAGAGGGGTGTCCACTCACAGATCTCTTGACGGTGGTTGGCCAGCCCTCGTCCAGCACGAGGCCACTCTCTGTGTCGTTGATCGTTGATTTTTCTCTCTTAACTCATCTACCAGGGACGCCGCAATTCTTTTAGTTCTTCTCTCATGATCCTTGGCATTTCTCAGCTGCCTCTGCAGCTCATAAGCTCTTCTTTGGGCCTCAGTTAATTTATCTTTAACGTGGTCAGGGTCAACAGCATAAGGATGATCCTATGAAATATAACACTTGTTGGAAAAGCACTATTCAACAAAACTCCAAGTATGCTGGAAAAGTCCCATGGATTAAAAAAATGCTTTATTTCACTTACCAAGTTTGCTGGAATTGGCGGTTCTGGAACATCAGACACAGGTACAGGATCATAACTTGGTTCACAGGCCTGTAGTGATGTCCTGGTTGACGTAGCTTTATTGGGCACCTTTACATGAAGCAAAGTACATTTAACACCAATGTTTAATATCAATATCCCAATATCCTGGGTGGCAGGATATCTTAGTATTAAGGATGCCATCTTGGGAATTCCCCGTTCAATTCCCACCACTAGCATACATACACTGGCAGTCAAAGTGTCATGACCATGATACTGAACCCCAATTGCTCCCTGGGCGCCTTAATGGCAACCGAACTTTATCATTAAACACAAGCGAATTTCCCAGAAACTGGAATTTATTTATTTAATTTATTTTATTTGAGAGACTTATTTATTAAATCTCATTGCTTGAAAAAGACACTTACTCTATTCAGCTGATTTGGAAAAGCAAACACTGAAGGGACCACACCTTCCTTCAAACGGACAGTTTGTCCAGTTCTGTCAAAATCTTCTGGAAGGAAATGAGAACTACACACAACTGTTGTGTCACTGGGCGTGAACTCACGCCTTCGGAGAGCTTTGGCCCACGTTCTTCTTGCTCCCGGTTCCTTTGGGAACCTTTGACACAAAAACAATGCCATTTCAAAGTTAGGTTAACGAGCATGTAACATAACGTGAAGTTAGCTAGATGTAATATATGGCTTGACATTCCAGGAATGGACACTCAGCAAGTAACGTTAGCCTAGCTAACATTCAACAAGTTTGAGCAGTTTGCTGAGCGCACTGTCTCTAGTCAGAGCTGACTAAAGACAGAAACGTTATCTAGCACTAGCTAGCTTGTCTAACAGCAGCCGAGTTCATCACAGCAGACTGCTCTGACAAGGAATACAATAACGTTAGCTGGCAAAAAGACACGTTACCGATTCACTCTCCGCCCAAAACCAGAGCAGGAAAGATCGGGTAGCTGGCTTTAGCCTAGCCATCACCATTGTGATGTCTGAAGTGATCATCACGCTTTCATTAGCTAACTCAGTGAACTGTAACTTAAAACACGATGAAACTGACACTTACTTGTGAAAAGTTATTCCACGGCCTCTATTTTCGACCGTTCGTCGATTGCTGCAGCCAAATGCTGCACAAGCTTGTGGCATTGTTAACTGCGGTCAAGCAAGCCTTCAATTCTGATATTATTATTTTTCTTCTTCTTCGTATGATTAATGTTGGTTGGCAAGCAACTTATTGGTGCATTCCGCCACCTTCTGGACAGGAGTGTGGATCTGCATCACATAAGTAAACCCCTTGTTATGCTAGATTTTCCTGCTTAATCCTGTTTTATCCAAAAACCTAAAATTGGCTCTGTACCCTACATCCCCAGAATTTATTTGATATTTAATGTAATTCTATTTCTTTCTAGTGCTCCAATGAGTACTTGTCTTTCTTGATGGTATTTTGGACACTAACATTACATGTCTACGGAAGCGTATTGCATTCACTTGACAAATAAAAAAAATCTGTTTTATTAAGTAATTTTTTCTGTTTTTTCGGAGTAAATTTTTATTTTTCTGTTTTTCGGTGTAATTTTTTTCTGTTTTTCTGAGTATTTTAGTAAAGAGAGCAATAGAACCACAGATGCTTTCATTCCTTTCTTGAGAGTTTGATATAATGGAAGCAGACATGACTTGTTTAGTTTAATCCAGTTTTACCTTGTTTTGGGTTTGAGACACTGGGAGATACTCTTGTCTTTAAGTCATATAGATGGTGTTATCATTAGTTAGTCGACTTTATGCAGGCATCGGTCACTTGCAGGTGCCAGGTGGGAGCTTCTCGCGAGATTTTGAAGTATCTCGTCTCTTCGTTCAGGAAAATTCAGAAAAAATACCCCGAAAACCAGAAAATATTACTCAGAAAAACCAAAAAAAAAAAAAAAATACTCAGAAAAACAGTGACAGTTTTTCAAGTGAATGCAATACGCTTCTGTAATGTTCCACTGTTTCTTGTGTGTTGGAATAATTACACTTTCCTGTAGCATGTTTGTTGACTATTTTCAATGTACCATTTAGGCCAGAATGATTTAATAATTTATTTTTACGTATTTACCCACAACATTTATGTCTATCCTCCGCTTTCCTTCATTCAATAGATTGCAATCAACTCTTGCATCCTCTATAGTCCATGGTGTTGTGACAAAGAGTGGCACAGTGGGACTCAACACCTTATCAGCTATGCCAATATCTGCAACCTTTGTCTGTATAACCCAGCTGAAACTCCTGATTTTTTTTTTATTTTCCAGTTCTTGACAGGGTTCTAGCAGCTCTTGATTTGGATGACTTCCATCATGTCCCCTCAAATTAGCCAATTCGGAAATGCATTCTTCTTATTATTATTATTGCTTTCCGGCAGACTCGATGCCTTTCGGCACATTGCTGCCTCCCACAGGTCAGATCCGCACACTGATTAATTCAAGGCCCATTTTAAAAGTGTATGAGTCCTGTCAGTGTGATTAACTTCACAACTGCTTTCACAGTCCTTGACTCATTCTTTGATGGGTTCAGCAAGCTCCGTAGTGAAATATCCTCCTCATCTGGGGAAGACTGTAGCGAACAGCTTCTCTCTCTCTCTCTTCCTGGAAGCGTCCACACTCCAACATAACATGCTTAACAGTTTGTTGTTTTTGGCAGTTGTTACATAGTCCATCTTCATGCTCTCCAATCTTTGCCAGGTCCCATGCAAGTCCTCAATGTCCCAGTCTCAGTCTAGTCATTAAAACAGTATTTATTCTCTCTCTCTCTCTACGTAACACTTCAGCTTTTCAACCCTGTTTTGAATAGAAAAATAATACTGCCCTTTCGTCTCCTTCTCCCACTCTCTGCCACATCTCTGTTATCTTTCTCTTAATTATTGATCGACACTCAGCATTTACAATCTCTTTTTAAAGACATTTTAGCTAACCTGTCAGCGAGCCCGTTCCCTTCTACCCCCACATGAGCTGGCACCCAGAGAAACTCCACTGTACTTCCTGCCTGTTCAGTTCAGTTGTCAACAGTTCAACTTCAAGGTCTGGTCGGGCTCCTAGACTGCTTTCTTTGAGGGCTGACAGAAGAGATGCAGAATCTGAACAGATAACTGTGTGGCTCGGCCTCACATCTTCAATCCACTGCAGTGCAAATACAATAGCTATTAAATCTGTGGTAAAAACTGAAACCCCCTCAGACAGTCGCTTGTATTTTACATATTCCAGGTCAGCGATACAAGAGACAAATCCTGACTTCCAAGGTAGAGGGTCTTGGGCCCCATCTGTGTAAATCAGAAGGTACTGTTTCCAGTTACTCTCTAGTAGTGATGGTCAAATGAAGCCTCATGAAGCATTTTCTTTATTTTCTGAGCCCACTAGATGGCGCTTTTTGTTCATCAAAAGGTTGAAAGCACACTGAATTGCCATTCTTTGAGCCTCTCCCTTTAAGCCATGAGTGCCATCTAGTGGGCTCAGAAAATAAAGAAAATGCTTCATGAGGCTTCATTTGGCCATCACTACTCTCTAGTCTCCTCCTAACAAGGTCAGCAGCAGAGTCATCACACGCTTTAATGACTTCTAAAATGCTTAGATCTACTTCTGGCATGGGTAGGACCTATGATGGTAGGTCAGACCTTACCCAGTGATCTAGTTTGCTTGATTTTTGGCCATAGTTCTCTTGCCTGCCGATCTTCCTTGGTGAAATCCTGCACAAAGCGAAACTCTTGTTCCTTGCACACGGGAGAGTCTTTGGTTGCTTTCCATACCACATTCCGGTGGTGTCTCCTCAAAAACTGCATGATGATCTGGCGGCTCCGTCCTCCTTCTCTCCTTCTTCTCACAAGACTTGAACCCTTAACCTTTGGTCTCATAACATGTCTCCTTCCACACTGAGCTATCTGATCGGAGGTGCAGCCATTGCTTTTTTTGGAGAACTTCTGCCTTCTTCATTTTGTTGTAATTGTGGGTATACATAAGTGCACATCTTGTAAGATATACACCTGTATGTGATGCAAACATCTTGAAATGTATAAATAAGTATGAGAATAAAGGTACAAATAAACAAATGATCTGCACCTCCAATGTGTCTCAACCATGACTGTCACATAGTATGTCAAAAAATGCCATAGGATAATTTTACACAGCATCCCAGCTTTTTTGAAATTTGGGTTGCAGCTTCAGTCATTGAAGTTTCGATGATCATTCAGTTTAATAGTGGTATGTTAGGATCCTTTTTGTTTAACCAGGAGCAGCCCTGAAATCACTATCACCAAACTCCATTTAAATAAACAGTAATTTTATTATTTTAAAACACACTTAATTCAAAGTCGACAGGGACAAAATAAAATTCACAAAATGCCTTAATTCATCTTTCCACTGTTCCAACAATCACCTACACTGGTTTGGTTAAAATGAACTCTTCATTCACGCAGTTAGATGTGAAAATATGCTGCCTCTATACACGCTAAAATTATTTATTTAAATGGAGTCTGCTGGGTTTGGAGATTGTTTTATCAGGGCTGTTTCTGGTTAAACAAAAAGGTTCTTGCTCTTTAACAAAAATGTCTATCTCTGTAGGGATCCTTTCCATAGTGTTGTCACACACTTATAATCTGAGCCTGTCAGTGGCAAAAAGAAACACTTTCAGTAGACGTTATTTGATGGTGCACAATTGCCCCGCATGGTTACATCGCAGCCTGTTTCGCCACTGTCGGCTTCAGTCTTCTTGCTCAATACTAGTGATGGCCAAATGAAGCCTCATGAAGCATTTTCTTTATTTTCTGAGCCCACTAGATGGCACTTTTTGTTCATCAAAAGGTTGAAAGCACACTGAATTGCCAGTCTTTGAGCCTCTCTCTTTATGCCATGAGTGCCATCTAGTGGGCTCAGAAAATAAAGAAAATGCTTCATGAGGCTTCATTTGGCCATCACTACTCAATACCAGTCCAATGTCATGCTTTTAAAGAAAATAATATACACTGCATTTTTTTCAGTTTGCTTTGACTTTGAATGTTTTGTCCGATGCACTGGTAAGCCTGTAAAGACAAAAAAAGACCACATAAATTGACTCCTTGCATCCACCCAGGCAGGTTTAATTATATACTCACAGTTTCAGCTACACAGACATTCAAATATTCATAATTATACTCCACTGGGACAGTACCCTTTTTTTTAAATTCCAGTGTGATCCTCGCATTTCTCAAGAAAAAAAAAACAATTGGAATGTAATTCTTCTTCAAGTATGATGCTTCTTTACTCACAATAAGTTGAAATGCTGCTAATAAATCTAAGTATGTTTGCAAGCTTTAAGCATCCCATGAACTCAACTGGGCATGACAGTCTGAAAAAGGAATGTTTGGGACATTGGAACAGTAAAAAGTTAATATTTTGACCTAAGTTGATGCCTTGTTAGTGTAATTCTTGTGTTAATAAGACCAGTTTCATGTGATAAAACTAAACTGTTGTTAAAGGAATACTTAAACCCTCTAAATGACCACTTCTATTTCAATTACTTACCCAGTGTTATGTTGAATTAGTGACGAACACTTTGTTTTTCTCGCAAGCCTCCACAGTAAACAAAGAATCCAAAAACGGAGAAAATTCTTGATGAATTGAAGTTATAGGTGTCCACACTGAACAAGTGAGAGCTACATCAAAATATCTCTTTACAAACTCACAACTTGTGCAGTATAATCCAAGCTGTTGTTAAACATGGACTCCTATGACTTCAGTTCAAGAATTTTCTCTGTTTTTGGATTCTTCGTTCACCATGGAGATATGAGAGAAAAACCATGATTTCTTTGCAGTTTCAACCTAACACAAGGTGAATAACTGATATACCAATAATCATTTAGGGGGTGAAGTATTCCTGAAATGGCTGGCAGTAATGTACAGCTCTCTAACTCTGTGCATTGGACTTCCACATAATGTGTCCGTCCTCTCCGAGCCTGACCGTGCCGCTGGCCACCAGCTCCAGAGCGGCTGGGAAGGCTCGGTGCTCGGCCTCCCTGATTCTGTCGGACAGACTCTCCTCTGTGTCGCTGCCCAGCACGGGCACTGCCTCCTGCACGATAATGGCTCCTGCATCCACCTCTTCCTAAACACAGATGAGGAAAACAATAGCTGTATGACTAGCTCAGGTAAAAGCCTCTTGGTTTGATGTCTGCTGATTCCACAGTATGTCGTACTTACTGCTACAAAGTGGACTGTGCAG